AAAAAAAAAAAAAAAAAAAAAAAAAACAGCATTACTACTAAACATTACATGCCACAATGGGGAATTCATAGCACATCACAGTGGCATTTCTGTGTGACATACCATGGGAAGAGTTCTTGTGACTGGATTGGTAGCCCTTTGAAAAGGCCTGCAGCAACCTTATAATGACCAAATAATTACCTCATTAGCTGCACAAATTAATTCAATCTGGTATACACAGCCTCAATGCTGAAAGGGAGAGAGTTATCAAGTCTGTTGTCTGTTATCAAGTTGATCCACAACAGCTAAAACCATATGTGAAATTCAGTCACACGTATTTGTGCCAGTTAAGACCGGTGTAATTAACACAGAACTAAATTCTGCTTTCCTAACTACACAGAGAACCATGGGACTAATGTACCAGATATGACTGAACTGAAAAACATCAAAGGAATTGTGACAGGTATGTACGACAATTTCTGGTGGCTAGGATGAATCTGTCAGTGAGGTATCAAATTATATGAAGTTTCCTCCATCCTCATGCATCATACCTGCAACCAGCTTTGCCAAATATTCTGTGGCTTCCTCAATCAGTAATTCTAGTAAAAGTTGGTCCTAATACTGCAATAAGATGTACACACACTTAACCGTGGAAGATAAAAACTAACAGCAGGAGAAAGAAAAATAAACATTTCTCATATAAGTTACATACACAAAATGTGATTTTGCCTAATGACTCCATTACTTTTGAGTGTTTACTATATTGTACTGAACATTTTTATTAGCTTTTACACAGTATTTTCCTTACAAGGTATACTTCTATATGTCAATAGTTATTATTTATTATGTCGCCTTGAGGCTGGAATGCGGTGAGCAGTATGCCTTCCTGATCCCAGAAGACTGTGAGCATCACTTTCCTGGAGGATGGTGTCACCTTAAACTTTTTTTTTTTGGCAGGCGAAGCAGGATGTTTCCATTGCACTCACACACGCTTTGTCTTGGGCTGGTAATGGTGAAACCAAGACCTGTGACAATTCGGGCTAGCATATTGTGTCCTTCATCGTGGTAGCAATTGAGATGCTGTAATGCCACACCCACTCTTTGCATTTTGTGTTGTGGGGTCAGCATGCGCGGCACCCATTGTGCACAGACTTTGTGAAAACCTAACCTGTCATGCATTATGAGGTAGGCCATGCCATGTGAACACTCCTGGTTTCAACAGCAGCCCAAAGAATTGTATGCTGCTGGTTTTCAGGGGATTGTGAAATGATGGGACAAGTGCATCAATATACAGGGAGATTATGTTGAGAAATAGAAGTACTTTTCAAATCAGTATTCTTATTTCTTTAAGTTCTATATCCATTTGTAACTTACTTATTGACTTACCCTTGTACATGGACGTTACCATAAGTTTAATTTAAACATATTTTGATGAGCCTAACTTGTTTCATGGGTACACCCAACTCAATGGGAACACTGTACAATACCTGAATCCTAAGTGAATCTTGAAGTCTGTCAGTAGCTGATGTACTATTTCCTTGTACTACCACTTTTCCCCAGTATCCGATGAATGCAAAAAAAGTAGTTGATCTATTATGTTCAAACCCATACTGATAAATGAGTAAACGGGTCCATCAACAAAATGTACATATTGGAATGTGGATGGCGCAACAGGAAGTAGGGGTCATGTGAACTCTGCGTTTCTGCAAGTGATGTCACATACCCCTACTCCTTCCATCGCTAGGCAACGCTCGGTAAATACCCCTCCCCGCTAGGCTGTGACATCACGCAACAGGAGAGTTCGTACAGAGACTATTGCTAGGCAATCGGTAAGCATGGCAATTACACAACAGGGAAGTGAGGTGCGTTTTCCAGTGTCTGGCTGAAGGTTTATTTCTTTTACATAACAGAATCATATCAGTTGTTATGAGGTTAGAATTTGTAATAGGATGTCTTAGATAATAGGTCGCTGGTGTGAGATCACTGTTCTGCATGTTCACGTCCCAACAGGGGATAAAATTGAGGATATGAAGGCCAGCTTTTACAAGGAAACAGGTGTACTTGATAAAGTCCTAAAATACCACATGAAAGTTTAGATTTCAATGCCAAAGTAGCCAAGAAGATATTTTAAAATAAACAATTGGAATGAGAGTTTACAGAAAATTAGTATTGAAAATGGAGTTGGAGCAACATAATATGCCACATCCAGAAATCTAATTATCTAGAGTACAATGTTCCCACCTCATAACATTCACAAATTTCCTTGGACATCAGAGAAAAAGACACAATTAAATTGACCATATTTTGACAGACAAGATGACAGGATGACAGTGGTGACTTACTTACAGATTCCCATAATATTTTGAACAGGTGGTGTAGAGTTACTTCTCTCAGCTCTTAAATGAACAGGCAGAAATACATGCAGCTCAGCCAGTAGCACCTGAGCATGGTCCTCTTGAGGTTGAAATTCTTATTGCAAAGTTGAAAAAGTATAAATCATCAGGTACTGCTCAAATTTTGGCAGAACTGATTCAAGGGCATGAAACTATACATTCTGAGAACTGTAAACCCATTAATTGTATTTGGAATATGAGAGAATTTCCTGATCAGTGGTAGGAGTGTATTACTGTACCAATTTATAACAAGGTGAACAAAACTGACTGTAGTAATTACCAATGCACACCACTGTTATTAAATTCAAAACTGTATCAATCCTCTTCTCTTAAGGTAGGGTCCACATGTAGACAAAATTATTTGTGATCAATGATATGGATTCAGACATAACAGATCAACTACTGACCAGATTTTCTGCACTGATTAGATGCTGGCTTGTTTCACCAATTTAACCACAATAAGTTAATATAGTATCATTGCACTATTCACCAACAGAATTTAATCAGAAATGCTTTGGATTTTAAACAACTTATAGCTGATGTCAATCTGGTAAACTTTAAACAACAGACAGTTCAAGGCATTCTTTCATGACATCAAAACTGAGTATGGTAACACTATCCTGAAGTTTACTGACTTAGCAACAGTAAGGTTACGCAACATTTTCAACAACATTTGGAAGAGATCAAAATTTTCCTTGTTGAAAAAACAACCAGTCAGTCACTCTGAAGTTGAAAGTTACGTGTGTAATCTAGCTTTGCCGTCAGTCATTTGCATATATCTGAATAACTTAAGGAGCAAAATAGAAGGGAAATTTCAACTTGTAAATGAATTATACAACAACATACTGGCCTTCCAAATAAAATTATCACTATTTTATTCATGGTTTTTTAATGACACCTGTAACTTCCTGTCAAATAAAGTTTAAAAAATAGTAGTCAGTATGTCACATACACTGAAAAGTCAGACAAATTATTTTCCGATTTGTGGACATCCATCAGGATAAAGAATTATTCAGAACATCTGCCATCAGCATCCTATGAAAATATGGAACCTACCTTACAACTTGAAGTGATCAACAAACATTGCAGAAATGAACTTTGGTCTAAATTCAAAGAAAGGGACTTGCTTAACCTTTAAAGGTGCCTTTCTGAAGATAAACATCTGAATCTGTGGCAGAAAACAGCTGTTTGTGCAAGTACAGGGTGGGGCGCAGAAATTTCCTTTTTGTGAAGGAAGGGGAGGTTGCAGAAAAGTAGGGATAGGCTGGGCGAATGCAGCAGTCGTGGAAGTTTCTGTCTAATACCCCTCAGTAGGAAACATGAGGTGGACAAGTGAGCAGCGTGCGTCTGCTGTTGAAGCCTGTTCTTCAAACCATTCCTACGTGACGGTGAAGCGTGCGTTCCATACTCACTTCAGAATTAAGCCCAGAGGTCTGGTTCCCAGCCGGAAATCGATTGTTTTGTGGGTAGAGAACTTTGACAAAAAATCATCAGGACAACAACGGACCATTACAACGCCAGAAAATATGGAGGCAGTTCGACAGTCGATTTTGAGATCTAAAAGACACTCCGCTTGCAAACATGCAGTCGCCCTAGACATATCCAATCGTTCAATGTGCCGAATTCTTCACGAACATCTTCATTTCCATCCCTATAAGATGGCGGTTGTGCAAGGATTGTCACCACGTGATTTCCAGAACCGAATAACGGCGTGTGAAACGTTATTGGAAACTTTACCCCCTGACGCACTTGTTTTCTTTAGTGATGAGGCACATTTTCACCTATCCGGATATGTCAACAAGCAGCATATGTGATATTGGAGTGGTAAGAATCCCAGAGAGCTCCATGAGAGGCCACTTCACAGTGATAAGGTGACAGTATGGTGTGCGTTGTCGAGTTGGAGTTATTGGCCCTTATTTTTTTGAAGACAATCATGCAGTTACTGTCAATTCACAATGGTATGTGGACATGATTAAAACTTTTTCGAACCAGCTCTTGAAGAAATGCATCTAGGACATGTCTGGTTCCAACAGGATGGTGCCACAGCCGAAGCTTCAATGACAGTTTTGAGGACAAAGCTCCCTGGATGGCACATCTCGCTTCGAGGTGACATCCCGTGGGCAGTGCACTCACCTGATCTAACACCCTGTGATTTTTTTTATGGGTGTACCTCAAGGCAGAGGTTCTTAAACATCGTCCCACAACCTGCTTCAGCTGAAGAATGTTATTCGGCAGGAAGTAGCCCAAATTCCGGTGCACATGTTGGAATGTGCAGAGGGGAACTTCAGAAAACAGTTGCATCAGTGCATAGAGAACAGTGGCCACCATCTTCATGATATTTTGTTTAAAACTTTAAAGTATGTTCTTTCATTAGCTAAACATAAACTCTGTCTATCAGCAATAGTTTTTCTTTTATTCACCTTCAAAAAAAAAGGAAGTTTCTGCGCCCCACCATGTATATCCAAGCATTTACATTTTTAAACAAGAATTCTCAACAATGAAGATAAACCTAAACAAAACTGGCTGACATTAGAAAATCTTATGTCAATCAATTCACTTACCCCAAGCATGTACAGACTACAACCAAAGCAGCCCAATAAAGTGACCCTTTTAAAGAGGAAGGCTGTGTATCCCTGCTTACTAACAGCTTGTTAAATTCTGAAGCAATTTCAGACAACTACCTCTGCATTAGCAGAAACTACAGGTTATTTTTAGCTCTTCATATCTGGCATCCTTGTAAAAACATGCTTCACAGATTATAGCATGGCAGCAGGAAAACAGATTATGTGGCAGAGGTTTCTTTGATTTGTTGCAAACAAAATGAGGAGTCACCAGTTATTTCTACACAAAACCAAAACTTGAAGAATCAGTTACTTTTGCATCACTGCAAAATGAGTGAATGCAAGATTTTTCTCAATATTATGAGATTTTTAAAGCATTATTTAAAAACGCCTGTAAGAGCAACGAGGACAGCTCAGTTGATACAGTGATGGGCTATGGGCCACACAGCAAGGGACAAGAGATTTTTCTCTGTTCTACAACATCCAGACTGACTCTGGGGCCCACCCTGCCTCCTATACAATGGATAATGCAGGTTCTTTCCCTGAAAGTAAAGCTACTACTCACCTCCATCTAGTGTCGATGTCAAGAATTATGAAGCTATACCCCACTCCCCAATATGTCATGACACAGTGATTAATTCATCAAGCAGAGGAACAACTTTGCCTTTAATCCTGCATGAGCTTAAATTGTATGTGATGCAAAATATGCCATAGCACACAAAACAGTACAGATGAAATTGTGTAAGATAACAAGCAACAGGTTATATTACATAGAGCCAGACAATGGACTGGACAACTTAAACACCAAAATATTTCACTGTCACTGTTGTTCACACATGCTGAGCCAGTGGCTGTAGGCATCTGCACTTCTGTCGTACTTAAAAAAACGAGAGAGAGAGAGAAAACAATGAACCAATAAAGTGGAACAGACTGTTAGGCACGCCCTCCTTTCATGATCATGTACCACTTTCATGCCACAGTGCAGTAAAGACTGTTCAAGTACTCACAGCACATGCCTGGACAAAAGTTCGCCTGAAAGAGGAAGGGGAAAGAAAGTGAAAGGACACTGGACTACCCATGGTGGTGAAGCGACAAATGACAATGTGCTTGCATGTGTTCCTTTACTATATCTTCTGATGCTACTGCATCCTGTGGGATATAACTTACATGATATACTCAGGAGTGAAGCAGTTCATAATTTGTTGCAGAAGACAAAAATCTGTAGGCATGCAAATAAAAAAAAAAAGGTGAAGTTATCCCTGTAATAGGCCGTGGAGGCCCATAGGGTAGTGCAATGTCAAGGCTCCCACATATTTTAGACAGTCAGCTCAGACAATGGTGAGGTTTTCAGCCTTACATGTTGACCGCCTTTTACCCTCAGGAAGATTCCTGGTACTCATTTCTGTTAGTGGCTCAGTCAATCCCAGGGACACAGTACGACCAAAGGATTAGGTCAACTGCTAAAGGATTGGAATACAGACACATGTTTTATAGTTGCACTGTTGTGACTGGCGGGCTTGAACTGTATAGCACAGAGGATGGATCATAACTGACATGACAACTACAATTCTGCAGAAGTAATTTTCAAAATAATTCACTTTTAAGTATCAAAATGCATTTCTGCATATCAGCCATGATTTCTTGGTCAAAATCAAACAGCTCTGCCTGATGTAGAGGGAAGAGTAGTTTTGTTGCATGAAAATTTATTTTTGCTTTAGGATCAAAGCACAGAAAGAGCTTGAATGAAATTACAAGATATATTGCAGTAATTTAGTGTTAAGCTCACAACCTACAAATAAATTAATAATTCTTGTTCTTTTTATTTTCTGAATATTTCTTACAAAAAACCCAATCCCAGTTCTTACCTATGTTGATTGTTGCTTGTCTACTTATAACCTCAGGAGAGAGGGCAGTCAGTTTAGCTACATCCTGAAAGAAAAACAAATACATGGTTATAAACAAAAAATTGAGGTATGTGTGTTTAGGGATGCTATGATCAAAAGATATGTCATACAACAAGTTAGCCCTCAGCTGTCATAAGAGCCATGATACAAAATGTACAAAATTTTGTTGAGGAACTGAATCCATGGGCCATACTGCAACAAGATGGAGCACCACCATATTGGGTTCACCCGTTAAGACAATTTCTGGACACATTTCCTGCCATTTGGGTCAGAAGCAGTGAGCCAGTTTAATGGACTGCAAGATCATGGGATTTAACCCCCGTAAACTTCTTTCTTTGCAGGTACACATAGGAGGTGTACCACACACGAGTCATTTGTTTGCATGATCTGAGGGAGGGGGGAGGAGCACACGGTCAATTCTGTGGAAGCAATCACACCACAAACGTGTAGTAACAGTTCCAGAGAATTTGATTACCAGATGCACTTCATGCAAGCAACAAAGGGAGCTAAGGTCGAAGTGCAGTGAAATGGAGAAAAATGTACTCTCCTAACTCTGTTTATTTTCTCAATAATAATATTTGAAACCTGTGCATTCTTTCTCAGACACACTGTAATAGAAATTACTTGTTCAATGCAATGTGTATCTTGTACCGTGCAGAGGCCATTGCCAGTCACTGTCTTACATTCCAAGAAGCTAACTGGTGTGACGTTCAAATTGTGTTATTCTGGTGACACTGGCAAATAATTACACAAATTCAGAAATGGCACACATATTTCATGTATGGTTTGGTAGTTGGCAATATGATAGAAGCACATCATCTTTATCAAGAATGGTTCTGTTGTCACAGGATCCTGGAAAGGAGTATGCTCAGCAGTATTCATCAGCCTCTCTGAGACAGTGAAGCATCTGTAGTGACTAAATGGGTTGAGGGAGGCTGCAATCAGTGAGAACTCCCCAGATGGAGGAAAGGGTGTTGTGCTGCATGAAGCAGAACCTGGGACTGGTACAAGGATTTTTGCAGCTGAAGGAAGAATCTGCAAAAACACAGCTGTGCGAATGTTATCCAAACAGGTACTGCATCCTTATCATCTTTAATGAGTTAAAGTCCTTACTCCTACTGAGTATCCCAGAAGAGCTGTGTTCAACCAACGACTTTCAAAAATGTATATCCAATCCACATTTTCTATCTGAAATTTCGTTTTCATGAAGCAGAATTTACACAACATGGCATTACCAACTCCCTTAACACTCATACATGAAAATGAGATGGATTGGCCGTACACTGAGGAACGATGATGAAAAGCCATTACAGATTGTGCTTCAGTGGAATCCTCAAGGAAACAGAGGAAGGGGGAACCAAGAAACAGCTGGAGGACATCCACTCTGAGAGAAGCTGGAAGAAGCTAAGTGGGCTGAGGTGTTCAGTTGCAGATCAGGACAAATGGAAAAAGCTTGTAGATGACATGCTGCTGATGGAACTACAGAATATATTATTATTATTATTATTATTATTATTGTGACGTATTTGCTCAAGGCAAGAAGTCATCAGAGATAGCCCGATGCTAGGAAACGGCTCTGCAGACAGGTNTCTAGATGGCAGCAGTGGTGTAACTGTGACAGCAAATGTGCAATAAATTTGCTAGATCCAGAACGGTGTGAAGTTATCTGTCGCATGACATACCCAACACATACAATTTGGTGTCAGAAGTGTCTATGAACTTAAACACCTCTCTCTCTGGGAAGAATTATTGAATTCAGAAGTATACTGAGTGTTATCCTGCCAAAAAGAAAATGGAGAAGCAAGATATGCAGTGAATAATCAAAATGATGGCGAAGGCAGAGGCCGATAGAAAAGCCGACAAGGAAGAAATTGAGGCCTATAGAAAAGCCTGGCGAGAAAAGGCAAACACTGATAGAAATGCCTGGCAAGAATAGACGGCTGCCTGGCGGGAAAAGATTGCAAAGGAAACGGAAGCAATCAAAGCAAGGACGAAAGCCATGCGAGAAAATATGGGCACCAGCCACAAGGAGATATTTGCAGAAAGCATACCCAAAATGGACATAAAGACGATGGCCTGCCAAGAGATGGAGGCACGTCTAGAAGAAGAGCAGACCTCAGTGGAAACAAAATCTGAGATGGCACAAAAAGAAGTAGTCCCCAAGGAAGATGCTCTTGTGCAACCGGTCAAAGGATGGAAGAGGTGGTATAGAAGCAAGCTGCAGTGCGATGCGAGCAGCCAAAGGAACTGACCCAAGGAATTTGTGGATCTCGGAAGGAAGGTATCCCACTGTGAAACAGTGGCATGACATAGGAGAGATGCCTTCAAGAAATAACAGAGCCAAAATCAGGATGGGTGCCAGAAGAACTGTGTTGCCGCTCCCAGAAGGATGACCCGCTGTGCAGGAGTGGCACAGCGCAAGGGACACATCAATGGGAAGAACCAGACTAGGAACTACATTGCAAGAGGAGCCCTCAGGTGGAACCAGAGGGCAGCACTGGACTGAAGGATGAGCACACAAGACAGCGGCTGCATCCTGAGAACGAGAGAAAAGCCAGCCGAACCCTGAGGAATACCCTAGGGCTCGATATCAGGCAACAAGCAGTAGAGATTTCCAGCAGATTACAGAACATCAAAAACTGGACACTGTGGAGGGGTTGACCCCCTCCGAAACGGAAAAGGAAACAAGGAATAGAGGAGGAACTGGTAACGTAGAAACGCCAGCCTCCCCAGCATGAATTGAGAATGAAAGTGAGGAGTGAATGTGATACAACGCTGGACCATGGAATTGCTTGGGATGATCAATCTTAAGAAGGGAGCAGATGTAACAGCCGGAGAATAGTCGCTGTAAGAGAAGTATCCAAAAAAAAAAAGAAGACGTTGCAAGAACAGCCTTCAAAGAAAAGGAACGGAGATGTACCATTAGGCTGTTTGGGACGAACAACCTTTAGAACGGAGCAGTGTGACGTATTTGCGCTATGCAGGAGCCCCCCACCAGTGGTGACCTAACAGCATTCTAATTAGAACTGGAAAAGAGTACACGTTATGAAGCTCCTCATTCTGCAGTTTCCTCCAACTTCCTGTCACTTCATCTCCCCTTGGCCCAAATATTCTCAACACTGTTCTCAAACACCTTCAGTCTATGTTCCTCCCTTCATGTCAGGGACCAAGTTTCACCCATAAAGAACCACAGCAAAATTACAGTTTTGTATATTCTAATTTTTATACAGAACTATAAGGCTTATTTTGGACTTTATCCATCGTCTGGTATATATAAGACAAAACACCACAATATTTCGGAGACTGGATCTGTCTCTGTCCTCAGGTGGATGAGGCAGGATAGACCTACTCAGCTGGGCCTGTCAGAAAGAGCTAATCTCAATCAGATGATGGATAATGTCCAAAATAAGCCTTATAGTTCTGTAGAGCATACACCATCATCAGAATCCCTGTTTTAGACCATTCTGGATATGAAATTTATCAGACAAATGTTTACCTATACGGACTTTACTTTACGCTTCATTTAACCTTTATCAGATGAACGTCATCATATGATGTCGTTAAAAGTTAGGGCAGCTGGCCGAACGACATCATATGATGTCGCGGATTCCACGCGTGTAAGGTTTTTTAAAATTAAATTAAAAATATAAATTGTTCTATTTACATGATTTTTGGTCACCAACTTTATAAGGAGGCCGCCTTCCTTCCTGCATGATCTAATGTAATCCAGCGACGTCATATGACGTTAAAAGTAAGGCCACCATGTTGCACACAAGGGCGAGACGAAAGTCTCGATGTGATAATTTCGCGCCACAGGATGACAACAAGATGAAGCTGTTCAGAATTGTCAGATCCAGGAGATGGAAAAATAGTTTATTTGTCCATTTCCAGGTCCGACGACTGATGCTGTAACTGTTTGTCATTCTGTCCGCTTTGTCGACATAACCCATGTGCGTGTTATAATCCACAACAACTGATGGTTTGATGGCATTTCCGTGCTCATTACAGAAAGTACCTTCTGCTGGAGGGCAGTGCATGTTTGTCAGTATGTGTACGTCACGTCTGTCCTTCCAAATTAGTGCTGCCAAGTTCTGTCTCACTCTAACACGAATGTCACCTTTCTCCAGTCGAAATTGTCTTCGTCGAAAATCGTCAGGCAAGCCCTTCTGATTAGGTCTGACTGTCCCACAGCACATTATGTCCTTTGTCATCAGGTCGTCAAACAAGGCTGGTGATGAAAAGAAATTGTCCATGTACAGTTTGTGACCTACGCCCTCAATATGCCTGCATAGGTCCCTAACTGTAGATGTGTCGCTGTCACATCTTGGCTGGCACGTTTCCTGTCTTTTCCTAAGTAAACCTTCATGTCATAGGTATACCCAGCGGCGTCACAAATTTTGAAGATTTTGATTCCGAAACGTTTGTGCTTCTTAGGAATGTACTGTCTAAAAACCACCCTTCCCTTGAATTTAACTATTATTTCGTCTATGGCCAAATGTTCGGAAGGGTTATAATATTTTTGATATGCGTCATTGAGAGTGTCGAAGATGGTCCGAATTTTCCATAGTCGGTCATAACTGTCGGCATTTCTGTCAGTTTCTGTACTGTTGTCTGCAAAATGTAGAAAACGAAGAATGTGAAGAAAACGGTCGCGTTTCATTGTGTTAGAGTAGAAAGGCATGGCAAATTGTTCAGCAGTCGACCAGTAGTCCTTTAGTGTGTCTCTAATGTCATGTCCCATTTGAATGATTATTCCTAGAAACAGAAACATCTCGGATTCAGTTACGTCAGGCCGCGGAGATGGTCCGTCTTCAAGTCTATCTAGGTACTGGTGATAGTACCTATTCGTCTCTTCCACCAGCAGATGGATAATCCCCGCAAAGTACAGCATGAAAACGCAGAGAGGGGTGGAATCCTTATTCACGTGTGGAGCTGCAGTGATATTTATCCCCACAGCTACACCGGAATAATTATTCACACCTCTCCAGCCACACTGGTCTGGCGGTCCCCAAGTTGCCGACGAAGGTGATGACCCTTCGTCCGCGGAATCAGAACTCCAACTTTCCTTGCCACTCTCAGAATCGGTTGAATTGCAGTCCGAATCTGTGTCACTGAACAGCTGTTTCTCAATTTCAGCATCTTCCATACGACGTCGTCATGTGGCCATGGTGAACTATACGGCTCTCTAGCGGTGAATGGTTTACTGCCAGCACAAAATATCTCTGTGCTTAGACCACGACCAGAAGCCATAAATCATAAACTCGCGCCCACACATACAAAAATCTCATTCACGTCTTGGCTGAACTCAATATCTGCTTCAAACATGCTAGATGATGTCATGGGTGGCTAACCTTATATTGTGATGTTTCAAAATCGTTACAAACACAATGGTTTGACTGCAATGAACGAATGAACGAATGACCGATCTGGCAACACCATATTCTGAGAATGTACGCCTGTGTCTTTCTAACAGATATAACACAGCGAGCGATTTCAGACACCCACAGTCCTGCATACCGACATGTCCCATATGATAAATAAGGTTCAACAAGAGATAGCATTGTATGTGAGGTCGCCACAGAGGACTTACACTGCTAAAACGCATGGTGCAGAAAATGTATTACACTGCTTGAACGCATTGTGCAGAAAATGTATGAATTTCAGGAATTTTTTTTTTGGAATCAGTGTAAAAAATTTTTACAGATATTAAAATCTGTAAATTAGAATATCTGATTCTATATTCTTTCTACATTAAAGGAGCATTCATTTCGTTCATCATAAAAAATGTAGAAATCACACCATTTTTAGAAACATGCTTACAATTTCATTGCTCTACAAGGGCGGGCATTTAAATAAACTCAGTCCAGCTGCCCCTATCAGAAATTAAATGGCCCATCCGATAAAGGTTAAATACATTTTAATCAGCCTAACTAGCCTCATGGGTATCCCAAACTCTATCAAAATACTGTAGAATACTTCCATCCTAACTGAATCATAGACTTCCTTGAAGTAATAGCTGATGTGCTCCCTCATTGTATTCCCATTTTTTCTCCAGTATCTGACGAATGCAAAACATCTGATCAGTGGTTGAAACCCACACTGATGATCCCAATAATTTCATCTATCTATGGACCTAACCATGAGAGAAGACTACTGGATAAAATTCTGTATGAAGTTGATAGCAATGATATCCCCTGATAATTACTAATCAGGTTTATCACTCTTCTTGTGAACTGGTACAATAATAACTCCTCCCATTGATCAGGCAATTTTTCCTTATGCCAAACAGAAGTAATTACCTTACGGATCTTAAAATATAATATTTCACCTCCCACTTGAATAAATTCTGCCGGACTTTCATCACTACCTGGTGATTTATACCTTTTCAATTTTGCAATAGGAATTCAACCTCAAAATGCTAGATCAGGCACTAACGGCTCAGCTGTATGGATTTCTGTCTGCGTAACAGCACTGACCTTATGTACATTCAATAACTGAGAGTAGTAGATCTTCCACCTAATCAAAATGTTGTGGGAATCTGCAAGCAGATCACCATTCTCTAAGTTACTTCTAGGTTAGTAACCCCTCTTGAAGTCATTTATTCCCCTCCCACCCTATTTAAGATGGACTTTTAAAAATATCCTCCAATCTACACTTAGGCCCTCCAAGTTGCCTCTTTCCTTCTCATTATCTGACCAAAACATGTACACATTTATCTTCTCTCCCATGCATGTCACATGCACTGCCAGCTCAACCTCTGTGATTCAGCTGACCTAATAATTAGTAACCATGTGTGGAACCTGCACACACACAATATTATTAAACCTATTAATATTACAATAATTATCCCATTATCAACTGACAATCATGTGATACCTTCCCACATGATAAACCATGAAGAGAATGGGTCGGCTACAAACCTGTGTTGCCCTACAAAGGATAAATGCAAAATAAAAACCAGAGGCTGACCAACGTTATTAACACGTACCTGTGACACAGTCATTTTGAAGTCTTAAATCATTTTCATAGGTTGCATCCTGTTGTGTGTCACAGACAATATATGATATGGAAGAACTATGCTATCGTCAACACAACAATATTTCTAAGTCGAACCACCACACAGTGTAGAACGCACCGAATGTGTATACGCCCAGACAAGAAACATACACCACATCGCACGTGTCATATATATGACATAAAGCATGAGAATACCATACCAAATACCCACATACCACCAAACTTGCACATCATTGAAAACATGTCTTTTGGCCTCACATACCAGACTTATTACATAGAATTTCAGCAACACACACCAAAGTTCTACACTGTAGAAGGATATACCTCTAATATAAAATATTTCAGTTGGCATACAGACCCCTAGCCCACCTACATATATATTTTTAATATCTTTTAATATTACTTTATATACTGCTAATATACATTTATTATTTATAATAATATTCCAACATTTTATATATAGTGTACCTTTATTTATTTCTACCTTTTTATATTCTTAATCATGTATTTGATATTTTAACTATTCTGCAATCCGAGGCAAAATTTATGTTAATATTCAATACGACGCGTTGCACCGATACGGATCCGTATCGGTATTTTCAATAACTATACGTATTCCTGCCTAATGGTGGTCATGTATGACCGAAACATGTTGCAGTAATATAGATCTGAATGTAGTAACTGAAATATTGTGTTGTGGGTAGCATAGTTCTTCCATATTATATATTGAAGTCTCAAAGTCATAAAGTAGCTACTCAAGACTTATATGGGCATCTCGAACTATAACGTGAACTCCAGCAAGCCACAAAAACTCAATCAAAGAAGAAACCTAATTGTTTCATATGTTGGTACCCTAAGCTTACATCACCCAAGCACGCACACCACGAAAAAATATTGACATGAACTGATGCTGCCTGTCATAATAGGCATACATAAAATTAGATGTAAAATATTTTGAATTATAATGTTTGTACTAAATTAGTGTTTAATAATGAAAGTCTCACAAGTGTAGCTAAATCTTGTTTGTACAGTTGACCCGTAAGACCGCCACTTCCTTCTCCAGCCATCTTGCAAAATACATGGACGCGTTCTCTCCGACTCTAATCTGCTTCCGGTTCAACCGTTTTCGATTAGAATACGTATATACTATGCCGTAAGGGAGTGATTCCAGGGCTCCAGGGTCGCCATAGTGAGGCCTAACAATTTAAGGCGTTCAGAAAACAAACGTAGACGTTGTATATATACATCCCGGGATCTTCCCAATTTTAAAGTAAAAAAGTGAAGATATTTCTGTAATACGACGTCATGTGTGAGAGTCGTCGAAACTCCCACATTTCATAGACAGTCCGCAAACAGATGGCGGTGAGGCTGTCAGCCATATGTCCGGCAGCCCCTTTCGCCAAGGCTGATCCTTAGTACTCATTTCTGTTAGGCCGAGGGCAAAACAAGGAAAATGTCAACAGCAACCGGGATTGCCGTGAATTGTTATCAGCCTTAGTTGAACAAATGTTAGCGAATGGAGCAGCACAAATTGAGAGAACTGCAACCCAACTCGCGGGGAAACTGAGAAACTCGATTTCCTAGCAGCAGAGAATACCAGTCTTCTCACAATTGAGTTGCCGCGTGATTTCCTGGAATCAGTTGTTCTGTTACGCACTACCTTTATTCATTTGTTTCTTAAGTTGACAAGAAAGGTTGACGAAGCAGTTAATATTTATTTTGTGCAATTATTTGAGCATGAGCCTGGTATATATGACAAACGCCACTCAGGCAATGTTAGGCGGGACAAAAGAGATTTCACTTGAGAAAGATTTTTCATGAGAAGGAGTCTGGATCCAGGTTAAGTTCCTCCGAAGCAATATAACGGCTTCAGTTTAAGTTGTCACACAAGAATGGTGTAGAAACCTACGTACACTTATTTACAATAGAATCTTAAAGTGTAACATATACAAGGTTTCTGTCAGTCTAGGCTAAGTACAGCAGATTATGCCCTATGTCTAGTAGTATTCGCTACCACGGCAGTCTAATCACTTGAACGGTCCTATGCCTGACAGCCGCCAAGTTTAAGCCCCTTATACATTCTGTGTCGGGCTACGCCTTGTCCGATGTTACGAACATTCTCATTATCATGATTCTGTATGACTTCTGTTTGTTGCCTGCATAATTTTGTTATATAATCATATACGTATGGGATTTTGAATGCCATGTGCAAATCGCGGACCGGTGTGTGCCTTGGAACATTGCCAATGGTGCGGAGAAACTTGTTTTGCAGGCACTGCAATTTCACTAGATGGGTGTCTGCCGCAAACGCCCAGGCGGGACTAGCATAAGTCATTACGGATCTAATAAGAGCTTTGTGAAGGGTCAGTTTAATGTTGTCGCTCAATCGCTCACTTTTAAACTGGGAATATACTCTGAGTGTTCTGAAAGCCTTGGCTTCGATCATTTCTATGCGCAATCACCATGTAACTTTCTTATCGAAGATTACACCTAGATATTTTTGCACTATTTACAAATGCAATATTTCGGCCATTTAGAGTGAGACAAGACTCAGGCGGTCGAAGACCACGAGAGAAGTAGACCACCTGAGTCTTAATTAAATTAAATATTCTAGCGCTCACACAGGTCTCCATTGAGCTGAGACCGCGCTGGAATTTTCTAACAATAAAACCCTCCTTGCGATCTTTCGCATACAGACAGGTGTCGTCCGCAAAGAAGGCCAGGTGAACACCATGTGTTTGGCGGGCATCATTTATGTACAAATTGAAAAGAGCAGGGGAAAGGACCGAAACTTGTGGCACCCCTGCTTGCATTTTCCTTGGGGTTGACAGTTTGCCTTCAACCGAAACCCTGAATTTACATTTAGAAAGAAAGGACCCAACAAGCTTGGTCAAACTGTTCGAGAATTCCAATTTTGATAACTTATACAGCATGCGTGAATGCCACGTGGTATAAAAGGCTTTTTCGATGTCCAAGAACACTGTAGCCGTAGACATTTTATTGTTGAAATTAAGGGTCACGTGGTCCGCCAGCCTCATACATTGCAATGTCGTGCTGTGACGTGCACGAAAACCAAACAGGCTTGCGTGGAGCAGGCCTCTTTCTTCAATATGTTTTTGGAGGAAATTCAAAATTATTTTTTCAAATAATTTTCCTCTCGTAGACAGGAGGCTGATCGGACGTAAATTTTGAGGCAATTTCGGGTCTTTATCGGGTTTATTTTAAGCTATTACTTTTGCTTCCTTCCAAGTAGTTGGAAAATGAGAAAGCCGAAAACCGTCACTGAATAAATGGGTTAGGTGAACCAATGGTCGCCTTGGAAGGTGCCTGAGGCATTCATTTGGGATGCCGTCAATTCTACAGGCCTTTTTTAATTTAAGAGATTTTATTAATTTCTGTAGGTCACATGGTCTGATCCTTTGAAGGGGGGGGGGTTGTCGTTTATGGTTTCGAGCAGAGCTTGAACTCTAGCCTCCACCCGCCGTGTAAGGTTATCGTCGCAGAGATCATGCGGGGTGAACTGAATTTCCAAACAGTCTGCAATTTCGTTGGCTTTTTCAGAAGGGTGAAATTTAAGGCCAGAAGACCCATGAATAGCAGTTGGTGCCTTTGGTCCATCTCTCTTTAAGCGAGATTTCGCAAAGGGCCATATACCCTGAGGTGTGACTTCAGCGTTACCTATTTTTGTTTCCACCGTTCAAGTGCCGTTTTACGGGTCATTCATCTGATTGATTTGATGACCCAATTTAGTGCCGTCTTACACGCTGGATCCCTGGTTTCTTGCCACAATTTTCCTAGCCTCTGCTTACGTTTTAACAAGCGATCTAGACCAGGAAGATCGTTGTCTATGTCCGAAAGTGTAACTTTTCTTGTGGACAACCTATATGCCGAAGCAATAGAGGCTGCAAAGTCGCGCGCCGCTTTATCGGCTTCTACCACAACTTAATTTCTAGTTTAGGTGATATTAACTCAGATGCGAGGCTTTGAAACGGCTCCCAATCTGTAAAATTTTCAATAGGTTCCGAAAGATTCCTAATTTCAATGTGATCCAGTATGTGGAATACTATTGGTAAGTGATCTGAATCCAAAATATCAGAGACGATGACATCTGACACTCTGATATTTTGGTGGACAACAGTATCCATCACGTCACCATTTCCCGCAGGGGAATAATGAGTTGGCCACTATGGTGCTGAAATTTCGAATTCGCTCATATCAAATAAATCCATGAGTTCTCGCCTGAGGTGTTTGAAACTCTGCTGTTCCAAAATGAATGTTTAACATTCAAATCACCTGCCAAAATAGACTTACGTCTAAAGCTTAAGAGCTCAGTGATGTCAACATCATTCCAGGCAGGACCCGGAGAGTTATAAACGGCTGCAAGTAGAACTTCAGTATTACCTATTGGTATGCAGACCCCTGTCGCTTCTTCTGAGACAGGAGGTGGTAAGTCTACATGGTTGTTGGGAATGCCTTTTCTAACTGCAATGGCAGTTCCATCTTTTCTGCCCGGGTAGCGATCGTTTCGATAAAAGTGATAATTTTGAATAAGGTACCTCTCATGGGTTTTCAGATGTGTCTCTGAAAACAGAGCGATATCTACATGCAGGTCTTGCATCTGTTTACTGAACTCATAGCGCTGCCTCCAAATGCCATTCGTATTAAATGCTATGACGTTGAGTGGCCTATGAATTCTAGTGGCCATTTTGTTCTATGAGATTTAAGACGGTTTTTGTAATGGCCAACAGTTTAGCCTCCTCTAACACAGCACCATTAGACTCTGTCAGAATCTGCTGTACTACCGTTACTACTATTTTCAACATTTTGTCCATAGGCAAACTGTTTACATTAGTGCCCGAACTGACTGGCCTGTTGCCTGCTGCTCGTTTTGGGGTAAGGCCGCAGGGACCCTGGGTTCCATTGTGGCGGGNGGGAAGGCCCGCGGGGCCCGTGGGTTCCTTTGGGGTGGCCCCTGCCACTACTGCCTGATGTGTCTGAGGCTGCCGCTGTTCCTCTGTCTTGCCTGGGAGCGAAGCCGCGAAGGACACGCCTGGAGTGGTGAGGTTTGAAGAGAACACCCTTCCTGTTGTAGCCCTGGGTGTTCTCTGCGACTTCTTTCTCTGCATCTCCTCCTTCGCGTGTCTGCAGCCACGATAATTTGCGGGATGGTGTTTTTCTCCTTCCGCCAACCGACAGTTGCAACATGTTTTGGGTGGAAGACGTATTCTCTTTCTCGAGGCATTCCTTGTGCAGGTGACCTCCTCCGCACCACAAGCAAGCCGAATACTCTCGTTATGTAGCTTCCGCACTGACCACATAGAAAACAGCCTATTGCCCAGTAGGTTCCTCCGAAATGTTGGAACTTACCTATAAAAATACATAACATTGCGTACCAGAAGACCATAATTTTAATGATATTCTCTGTTTTCATAGTAAGGGAGTGGATATGCACACGGAACCGCCAAGACATTGCCTGCGAACTACAGTTTACGAACTATTCTATGTTCCTTGCGCGGTGAGGAAGAGTGAGTTGCTACATTGACAGAATGATTCAGCGTCATGTTTTCTCTTCAAGTCTAGGGATATTGCCCCTCTAATTTTAAACGGAGCTGACGACACTTGAGGCACGGCGCAAACTTTAAATTCCCTCCAGCAACTGAAAGAAAAACGAAAGAGTAAATTGTATGTGTGGCCACTGCAGAGATCTGACACCAGGTTTACGACTTCCAAGTTTCTGACGTCAAAATCTACACCCACATTTACTGCTCTGCTCATCTTCAGTTTCGTGATTCGTAAAGATAGTGTAACCGCTCAGTGAGACTTCTAGCCCCACAAGTTGGTCGGCACTTATAACTGTCCTCTTAGTGCCCTTACGTTGTCTCCACTTTCATCCGCCACTTCCTTGTTGCTGTCTGGTTCAGGGTAGGGCGTGGGATTACTCTGAATTTGAATTTGTATGGGCGCCAGTGGACTTTGGTGAAATCCACGAATTTGGAACGGGGAAAACAAAGGGGGGGGGGATAAGGATAGGCGGGCGTTTGGGTTTCCGGCTGCTCAGACGGTAGGACGAGATTCTGTCTCAGGGTGACTTCTGGGCCTTGCTCACACAAGGAGCGAAAGAACACTTAAAACACACACTTCACCAACACTGTTGCTCTTTATTATAGATGTGAACTGGAATTACACATTACAAGGCTATAGCACT